GGGGGGGGGGGGGGGGGGGAAAAGGGGTCAATTGACCTTCAGGACATATGCCCTGGCGATTTTGGCTGGCCGCCCCGACTTGGATTGCTCGAAGACTCTTGTGAAATGTCCAACCCGAGGCGGCTCTTGGTGGAAATCTTGGATCCCTAGTTCAAGGGGCCAGACGCTTTCGAAATGATCAGAACAGTCTTTAGGTCCCTTAGGTATGCATAATTATGCATACGAATACACACACATACACACAGAGAGGTTTGTGAATCTAGCTTTAGAATCATACATACATGCATATTGTACCTTTTTCTACACACAAACACACTTGCACGTGCAGACCGATAGAACAGTACAGTTATATTCACAAAAGTCTCGCTCTCATGTGTGTATATATGTATATGCCTATGTGTATATATCTGTACGAAGTGTCTAAGAGGACTGTCGGCAAGTAGCGCAGAAGGCCTGTCGTGAAGTTGAATAGTTGAAAGCGTTCTTTGCAGAACCGCAAAATGACCAGACCAGGACTGATAGCGCACATCAGTGACAGATAGAGTTAGAGATGTCGAATGCTGATGTTGATGATAATGGCGATGATGCGAATGCTGATGACCATGTTAAATGCGTTTCTCGATGAAGCAGTGGAATCAGCGACAGCAGCCAATAACATAGGATAACCGTGGTGACCGCAGTCTCATGGTGATAATCCTAATATATCGTAGTCATTGTAGCTGCAGTCATCATCTTGATCAGGCTGATAATCATCATGCTACACAGCCCGATGTTTTGAAAAACCTTTGGGCGGATCACGGCCTCGCATGCAATCCGCGGCAGGCTGGGTGCAGGCAGACGGCACTTCAGCACGAAGGTGACTCGAGAACGGTCGAGCAATTCCTCAACCTTAGTCTCGGGACTTGGGTTCGGGGGTTGGGAGGCTAACATCGGCTGGGGGATGCTGGGAGGCCACTTCAAGCAACGCAAAGCAAGACTTCAAGACGACCGTTTGCTGTTCAAGTCACGGTGGCTGCTCGCAAATCCAGACTAATCCTTGCTCGCAGACTTAGGACCACATGCTTGCGGCTGGGACGTCATCCGGGCAGGCCAGGTCTTGAAAGGAGATTTGCTTCGGTCTTTTGCTTCCAGCTGCTTAGCAGCTGTCACACGTCCGAGCTGCGGCGAGATGCTGCAACCGAATGAAACCGGGAAGTTTCCAATGTGAAGCCTGTCGGTCGACGAGGCTTCAAGACAGCAAACACGCGTTTGATCCTGAAGCCCCTCACGACGACCCAAAGTTCCCTTGAGAACCCGCGAAGCCACTGTTCGCAGGCTTCACCGAAAGGAAAGAAGCTGATGCCAGCCCAAGACCATCTGCTTGGCTCCTAGTTCGGTGTCGTGGTGTTCTGGTTCACGGAGGGATGTTTGAAGGCGTCCTTGATGTAGGTTTAGGCGGTTTAAGTTTAGATGTTATGGGGTTTAGGGGGTTGTTCTGAATTAGTGTCCCTGCCAGAGGCGCGGAGTCGTTTTGTAGGCCTGGAGATTTCAGTGGTTCAGCGGTGTGCCCATTGCGGATCCTTGTTGCAATAGACTCTGCCTGGACAGAGTGGCCTCGCCCGGATTGCACGTTCCTGGTTTTCCAATCTGATCTACAGTCCAGTCTGCATGCCTGGCCTTCACAAGGGGCTTTTCGATGTCAGGGCTTTGCAGACTTTGACATGTTTGGCTGGCAAGGGAGGCTTTAAGCCTCATATTCCCTGAAGCAGCGACTTGCCAGAACATCAGAGCACCAGCAAGGCTAAACCAGGGGCATGAACGCTGGTTGCTTTTCTCACGCTCTGGCTTTACACTTCCTCATCTTAGAAGGGGCAAGCAAGCTTCTGGGAGCAGGGGGCCGAGAGCAGCAGCTGATGGACTGCTAACGCAAGGTGACCTCTGCCGATCAATGAGGAAGCCATGCGACAACAGCAGCAATCGTGTTACGATATCAAGGTATACTCAGCTTCAAGGCATCTCTTCGGTGGATCTGAGCAGGTGCCCAATGCAGCTCCTGCAAGCCCTGTCTGACGTAGTGTAGACGTCGGAGTAGAGTCTAGAGTCTACATCTCACTTACCTCACAAACGATGTGTAAAAGCCGCGGACCAACCACAGTTCCCAAAAAAAATCTGGAATCTTTGTGGTAGTCCTCTTTGGTCAAACATCCCAAAAGGCAATCCGGCTGGGGCGTGCACATACCGTCGGGACCCCAGGATGCCAACGTCTTATGGCCAGCTAGGATGTTGTGGGTTCCTGCACAACCGATGCATTTTCCGGTGTCATTGTGTCTTCGTCCTAGATCCGCGGTCGCACCTTAGGCTCCATATTCTATGCATGTGCTCGCATCGGGGATCCAATTCCGCCCCATGTAATTCTGTATGCGAATGCTTGCCATCCTCAGTTCAGTCTTTGTATTACTTGTGTGTAGATGCTACAGCGGCAGCAACGACAGGCCCGAGCACGAAGTCCGCCACGGGCGGCAGCGCGAGGCACACTCTGGCGAAAGCTGTACTGCTCCGGGTCAATTCTTGCAGACGTTCACTGTGGCTGCCAAGGCGTAGGCTGTTCATAGGGCAAAGGTTCTCGGCCAGGCAGCCTTCCATAATGGCCTGGAGCGTTTCATTGGCCATGGTCGGCGCATCTTGGACAGCAAACCGTCAAGGATTGATGCTTAAGGGTTTTGGGGAGCTATCTAGGGGACTTGATGGTTTCCAGTAGAGTTCTGGAGTAGATAAACACTTGGAGGGATGTCGGAGGACAACGGGGCATTTCAAGCTTCAATGCTGTTCAATTAGACTCTACTCTACTGATGTGAGGTACACTGATACTTTGTAGTATCACAACACAAGTGTATAGGGACTAAGCGCAATGGGATATGTGTGATAGCTGCAGCCGACACAGCCTCCGTGTGAGTTCTTGGTTCTTTGACTCTCCGCCGATGCGACAGGGTTTGCCATTCCTCTTGTGTTCATGGTTCGGCTCATCGCGGAGAGCATAATTTTTCTTCAAGCGTGTCGATGCAGACGTATGTTTGCACAGCGCCACAACAGGGACAGCAAACTTCATGAAAGTGCCTCAGAGTGCAGGCTGTGACTGATCAGTTTTCTGGTTGAAACTTTGAGGAGTCCATGCCCGGATATGGCTCCCGGCTGATGGAAACCCGAGCCCAGCTGGTTGGCATTTGCAGCAACGACTCCCGAAAGAAAAGTCCTCGCTCCAAGGCCACCGTCCCGAATGGGTGCAGAAGGACGCGCGTGTTTTATGACGGTAAATTGAAATTCCGATTTGGGGAGCAGCAACGAAGTCCAAAAGTCAGCATCGGGTGCGGTGTGTATGGGTTTTGTTGTCCTCTGTCCTTGCATGTCACCATATGCAATTCTCTTTTCCGGTGCCTGCGCCAGTGGCCCTGGCAGGACAACCCCTTCCGGCCGATGCAAGATGCTCCTCCCGGGCCCGCTGGCTCAGTACCGGCAAGTGGGGGGCGGCGGTTGGGTTTAGTCTGGACTCTAGATTTAAGAAAGCTGACAAAACTCTTCAAGCAAATTTGTGCACCCCAGATCCTGCGCTCGTGAATGAGTAGACATTCCTGGCTATATTGCTCAACGGAGGTGATTTGGGTCTCTGCTGTGCCGCGCTCCTCTTGGTGCCCTGTGAATCTGTGAAGGTAACAATTCCGCGGAGCGCATTCCTGGCGGAGTTTGGGTTTCGAGACAACTACGTCAACATGGTTTCCCGAGACCATGCAAAGAATGCTCCGACTTGTCCAGATACTCGTATCATTAAGCCTCGAAGTCCACAGCCGCATCCCATCACCAACCATTTCGGACACGATGGTTTCGGGTGTGGGGTCTTTCTGAGACGCTCTGCTCTGCTCATTCTCCTGCAGCTGGTTCTCGGAACACTGTAAGCGAGTGGAGCTATCGGTTATGATGTTTGCTAAGACTGTTTTCGGGCATACCATGATACTCGGCAACAGCAACCCACACCCCAAGCCAAAACGACTCCACCTTAGCCCTTTAGCATGCTGCAATGCGGCTTGGCGTGCAGATTCCAGTCTGTGCTTCGATCACATCCTTGACATTAGTGGCATTGTGGACGAAGAGTGCAAGACTTACGGAGCAGCCCAGACTGCAACCGCAGGAGCAGCCCATTCTGACGCAAAGCGGCAGCAGTCGCAGCCTGATTGGCAGGAACTTGGTCCTAGCAGGAGATTCGAACGATGAGCGCTTCTTCCGGTATTTCTGCAGGCGCCTGACCGGAGAGTTTGATTCGATACTGACAACAACGGAAATTGTGAACCCTGTCGCGAGCGAGTATCATGGGAAGATTCGGTGGCCCACAATGGCCAGTGTCATGACTTGCCATGACCGCAGACGAAACATAAGTGCGGCTTTCGTGTTCCATCAAGGTCTGTACAGCATTCCTCCGCAACCAACCTGGTATCTTGATTTTGCCCATCGCCGAATGCACACTCACTACCCCAACGCCGAAAGAAAGAGAGGTATTCTTCCAATCACTGACCAGGCACGCTGGATTTGGCCCCAAGTCGTTCTCCAGCTGCTTCCGAAGCGCGAGAACATACTGCTCCTTCAGTCTTCAATGTGGGACTCTATGGCTGTCCTCGAGGGGGTCGTTGGCACGCGAGTTTCGTTGATGACAGAGGCACACGAGAACATGACCGTTGAAGCTGGAGCCCACATCTCGGCCACGAACTTGAGCACTTGGGGTTGGCTATCGAGAGCGGAAGACGTTTGGTCTGCTTTGCTGCAAGGCTTCCAAGAGAACGGTTTGGACGTGGTAGCTCGTCTTTGGCGCACGAATCCCGATTGTCCTCGCTTGGTGCACGAAGGCTCAGCTATTCTCAACCCGCTGAGTCGCCTCTATGCTGAAGCGGTAAAGGACGCGCAGGCGGCGTCGGCGGGGGCATGGTTGGACACTTGCATAGTTGACTTACGTGGATACTATGTTGCTCCCAGCCCGAGCCAATGTGACCTTCACCATTTCACCAAACAAGGCTGGGAAGCCTACTGGACAGCGTTAAGCGACTGCATGCAAATGCCCACTGACACAGGAAAAGGAAGCATCCGATTTCCACGGAAGTTCTTAACAGGACCTGAGCGGTATCGCTAAGGATTTCGATGAAGTTTCACTGAGGCAAAATGTTGAAGCACCTGAACCCCGATTCAAACATTCCCATGCTCGCGGCGGCCTGAGGCCCCGGCGACGTCCAGTGGGAGGCGCCGACCACATTGTGCCGGGCTGCGGGCAGGCAACCTGCCTGGAGGACCCTGCACAGCCGGTTCGTCACAGCATCTCCAGTGAGTCGCGCTTAGATTCGATGCCTGCAGCCCACTGAAAGGATGCATCTCCTGTGGGAAGGCGGCACTTCGGTGCAGCGGACCGAGCTTTTTCTCCGTGAAAGCTCACATTTCACTTTACCTTAAGAGACTTTTTCCTTTAGACACTGGGCGCATAGATATAAGTGTATTCATCATTTATTCATCATTTGGGTAGGGTCGGCGGTCATCATTTAATCATCATTTGTTTGTGGGTTTTTTCATAGTGTCTGAAGCTGGGTTCCGGGTAGTCATCATTTATTTCTGGCTGTCATCAGTTGTTCATCATTTCCCATCATTTTTGCAATATGTATTGGGAAATGATGAAAAAATGATGACAGTCCAGTAAAAGGAAATCTGCACTTTTGCTGGACTGCCATCATATTTTTCATCAGTTTTTCATAATTCCCCATCATGTTTGCAATATTTATTGGAAAATGATGAAAAAGTGATGAACAAAATGATGAAAAATGATGACAGTCCAGCAACAGGAAATCTGCACTTTTGCTGGACTGTCATCATATTTTCATCAGTTTTTCATAATTTCAGATCATTTTTGCAATATTTATTGGAAAATGATGAAAAAATGATGACAGTCCAGCAACAGGAAATCTGCACTTTTGGCTGGACTGTCACCATTTTCTCATCATTTCCCATCATGTTTGCAATATTTATTGGAAAATGATGAAAAAAATGATGGCCCCCGAATGATGCCAAAGCGATTAACAAATGGTGAAAAACTTACAGGCTGATTTCCAATCTGTACAGGCCAGAAAATCTCTTGAACTTTACCTCTTCTGAACTCCTTTGTATATAGGCTTCGTGCACTTCTTGCGGCCCTCCTCTCTCCTCTGTGGCCCTTTCTCTCAAGATCTTCTCAGCCGTCTAGCCTTCGGCCGAGTGCTTGTTTGGTCCTGTGATGAGACTGCTTCTTTGCGGCCCCGCCCCTTGAACGATGCGCTGATGATGCAGTGATGCACTGTAGAAATGCAGGTGATATCGAGAGCCGAACGAGTCTGTCAACAAACTGGCGTCCCCGTGCAGTGAACTGCCCGAGACCGGGACTGCTCTTCGACAGGGGTAAACCTGAAAGGCTCACTTTCAGGGTTATCAAAAGGGTTCAACGGTTCAAGCCAGCGAAGGCCCGAGACAATATCCGGCCTGGATTTGCTTTCGACAAGACCCGCAGTGAGGCGGGAGGACTGCGTGGGGTGTGGTGTATAAAGGGCCAGGAGGATGCTGGCCACTGCGGAACATGTTGTAACAGCGGCGTAGCGGCGCGCCGAGGCTTGTATGGCACTGCGCAGTACGGGTGTCGGAGGTTGAACTGACCCTGAAGGTTCATGAGATGAAAAGGCCCTTCATTACCTAACCCAGTTTAGATGCCCTGTGCTGTCTACCAAGCTCCACCACAGCGTCAGGGCTCCATCGGCTACGGAAGGCAGCGCATCCAAGAAAAGGCAGAGCGAACTTGGGAGTTGTTGGAATTCGTGCCTGGCTCCCCTTAGCTAGACCTGATTCGCAGGAACTTGTGAGATCTTCGGCGCCGGCAGTTAGTAGTGGTAGCATTAGCAGTACCAACACACTTTGATCATCATCTAAAGATCAGCGATAGACCACAAGGAGCGTTGCGAGCAATGAGCCTTGACATGCATGAGTCGTACAGGCGGCAACGGTCATGCATTGCGCGAGTAATTGCAGGCAAAATCACAGCACACCATATGTTGTTCACGAAATTATTCCTGAATCCTCGAAGCGAGAACATTAGAGCTTAAATTAAAAGCTTCAAATTTCCACAAACCTCCATTACGAGGCTCACCTTCTCGGTGGTTTAGCCCGCGCAGCCGACTGCCCCGGTCAACACGGTCATGCCAGGCCCACGTCCTCGGAACACGTAGCATCGCACGTAAGCCTACGTGCATACAAGTCATACTCGCAATATCTTATCATATACATACATATACAAAACATACATACATACATACATGCATATACACATACATATACATACACACACATACATATACATACACACATACATATGACATGCATATACACACATATATACATATGTGTGTTACACACAAGTATATACACACACACTAATACATGCATATATACATATATATATATGTATGTATGTATGTATGTATGTATGTGTGTGCTTACATAAATTTAAACATGCTCACATACATACAGATACACATATGCTCATACACATATATAAGCATATACACGTGTATGATGTATGTGTAGATAGATGTACATATTTATATACATATGTTCTTATCTATATACAGATGTACATATATAAACATATGTACATCTGTACATACATACATACATGCATGCATGCATGCATGCATGCATACATACATACATATGTTACATACATACACAATATACACACCTACATACATACATACATACATACATACATACATTTTGCGATTTGCGGGCTGTCAGAGGTAGACGCAGCTTAATTAAGGTTGCACACGTGCCCGTAGATGCTCGAAAGGCCGAGCAAGGGGCGATCTCCAGAAGCTCTCCGGGGCACACAGCTGTACTGCCGCTCCTGTACGTGCGGCGTCCCATGCTACCCTCAAAACTTCCGGAACGACTGGCCAGTAGATGCCCTGTACGGCTGCAACGTCCGCTAGACTACTGCCTGAGGTCAATGCAGCTTCCCATCCCTCAGTCAGTCGTAGTCGAGCTTTCGGGGTCTCGTCCAGGTCCTCGGGCCTCCGACACATTGAAGGCCAGTCAATGGCATCAACAGTCTGCTGGAAATCACGGAGGGTGGTCGTGTGGGCATCATCCACAGCGCCACCATCAGCACTCCAGACTGCTCCACTGAATTGCCGTAGGGCTTGAGTGAGGGCCTCATAGACCACCTCACTCCAGCCCTCGATTGCCTCAGCCGAATGTAGCTCAGCCGCCTCCTGGAGCAAGTAGGACGCCAACTCATCCATCTCGTCCGGGTAGAGGGGGTGCTTCGCCATGCAGTCCTCAATCAGGTTGCGGATCTCCATCGCTGAGTGCGGGAGCGTGTCCTTGGTGAGCAGCTCGCTCAGGTCTCGATGGGCCTGCAGCATCGGTTCATGCCAGGTATCAGTCATGACCTCTGGCATCGGTGCATCCATAGGCCTCGATGTAGCCAGCGTGTAGTCCTCATCCGCCTGTTGTCGCCACTTCTTGCTGCCCAGCCCCGGTGCGACGACCTCCACGGTGAGCTTGGCTTCATGCAGCTTCTGCACACAAGAGGGAGCATCACGGAGATGTATCGCCAATCTGTTCCTGCACCAGAACTCGCGACCACAGGCCTGGCATCGTGTGCCCTGCACATAGGCCCTGTGTTTGGCCATCCTCCGGTGAGTCTTGAAGAAATGGGCCCCAAGCGCGGCCCTCGTCCTCACTCTCTTGCCACACGGCCGGCAGACCCATACATCCTTTCGGTCCACCATGTCTGGCGCAGCAGCCCTACGCCATATAGCCCACAAACAGACCATGGTCACCGTGTGGCCCCGGTAAGCACGCATGTCTCGCTGTAGCTTCGCCTTGACCTGTCGCTTGACCCAGGTAGTAGAGCTCGCAAGGAGGCCACGCCACTCAGGCCAGTTGTCCCCACCAACCGTTGGCCATCGCTCGTCTCCCTCCACTAGCCATTGTAGGTCCAGGCTGACTTGTCTTAGCCAGGTCCTCTCCTCTTGTAGCACCGCCCAGAGGCCGTGGGGAGCGAAGCTGGCCATCGAGCACAGGAGGCTGAGTCGTGCCTTCCTCGCCAAATAAGCCAGCGGTGGTACACCTGTCACAACATGGACTACCGGCGCCAGGACCCTATAGAACAGCTCGCCCTTGTAGGTTTTCGCCAGTAGGCCGCGCAGCAGGTTGGAGAAGCCGACCTCCAGCTTGTTCCAGGCCTCGCCTTCTTCAACCCACAAAGCCAGATTGAAAAAGGTCGAAGTCACCGAGGTAGCAAATAGCGATGCTCGCACCAGCAGGGGGATCGACATGTTGGTGTACAAGAGCGCCTTGCCTGAGTCAAAGGAGGCCTTGGCCATGCTTAGGCGCCGTCGGGCCTCTCCCATCATCTTCAGCTCTGTGTCCACCAAGCCACCCAAGTGAACATACTGACCTGCCACCTGGATCTTCAAGTCCAGGTCGCGGAGATGGATATACTTGGCCCCGTGTGGGAACCATTGTTTCCTTGCCCTTTGGGAACCCTTGCCTCGCACTGCCAGGATGATCGCCGTCTTTTTAGGTCGAAGGTTCGGTGCCATCCCATGTCTCTGGCAATAGTCAAGGATCAAAGATCCCATTCTGCTGGTCTTGGCCAACAGTCTTTGTGGGTCTGGATCTGACAGTGGGAAGGCACTATCATCCGCCCAGGTGCAGTCTTTTGCCTGCAGAGTCTTGCCGCGATCCGCAGCCTCATAGATCCCACCATTCTCTACGAAGGTGAGCTCTGTCAGGAGGTTTTCCGCCGTAGCCTGCTCCATGATCTGCAGCAAAATCTTGCTCAGGACAAAGGAGAAAATCACATCCGCCCATGACTCGCCCGGACGTGACCCAGCATGTGTACTGTTGACAAAGTCCTCGCTGCCATGCCGGGTGACGAACCAGGATCGGTGCAGGAGATCTTTGGTCAAGTGCCTCGCAGGCACCGAGAACCCCGCATCTTCAAACATACCCCCTTGTTTGATCAAGTCCGCGAACTCGTGCATTTCCTCCGGTCCAATCTCGAAGAATCGGAAGACCCGAGCCACCGCCATGTCACTGCCAACATGACCCACT